GAATCTGATTATGTAGTTATTGAATAAGTATCGCTAGAAGATTTAAAAAACGGTTAAATTTATTAATAGAATTTATACGTGCTATAGTATATGCAAGTTAGAAAAGGTTCTACCCGAATTATGCATCGATGTGATCAATGATCGGCAGTGATCAGCATAACCTGGCACAGAATCCATACGTGCGATTTCTGTAGATCCTTGTCTTATTTGGGTTTAATTCTGGTCAAATATGCAGATCATTCGGCCTGGGGGGTGAGTTTTACAACTCATCCCCCAGGCCGAATGATCTGCATATTTGACCAGAATTAAACCCAAATAAGACAAGGATCTACAGAAATCATACGATATTTATAATCACTTCCAAATTCATTTATTCAATTTTCAATATCCGTGAATTGATTGATAAATAATATTTCCAAGTTTTATTAAATGTTTTAACCATATACAGCATTTTACTGTAGTATTTAGAAAAAAAATTTTATTCTAATTATTTTTTACTGTCAAATAAAGAATTAAAATTATGCTATAGGCGAAATAATGAAAAAAATATTATTGCTTTATTAAATGAAAACTTTATTAATAAAATATTAGAAATACAAAATTAAAAATCAATTCACAATTTGCTATACATTATATTATTTCGAAATGGTTAAATTTCTTTAGATAAATCAGCGAATAAAACTGTTGTGGCCGTTCCTTTGTTTTCTTTCACCAGTGTTTTTTAGCCATGACCGTCAGGAATTGAGTAAATGTAACATGAAAAAAAAACTCCAGACGTCAAATATTATTTTACCGGGTACAATAGATTTTTCTCTTAACTGATTATATGAGGTATTTTCATTACATTGATTAGACAGCATGTTAAATGAAACAATTCTAAATCTCCAAGTCTAACCCAGTATCTTCTTTCTTGCTTCCATTAATTCTTTCATTTTTTCACTTAAAAATCCACATAATGTTTTTTTTCTTCATGTAAATTAATTGAAGACCGGTTTTGCCATTTTCCATTAACACTTCTTGGTATTTTTTTTGCCATGAAGTAGCTTTTGAATGCGAGGAGACTATTTGCTTTAACTGAGAACCACGAATTTTGTGGTAATCTTTTCGAAGGTGAATTTAGTGTGTTCAAGTTTATAGCAACTTGGCTACCATGATCTTGACGGTAACCTTTTTTTGAGTTAACTATTCTTAACTGTAACATTTTGTCTAACCTATAAATCAACTAACTGTTTTAATAAGTCGTAATCCCATTTAAAAAATAATCCATTGTTCAACTTCATCATACTTTTAAAGAACTATAAGAGAACTATAAGAGAAATCGTACATATGTATGTTAATGTACGATTAGTCGCTCATTATATTCTTCAGGAATTTGATCACACTCATTCAGATAGTGTGGTCCTCTACAATAATAACAAAAGGATCTGGGGCTATTATCTTGGGATACGCTGCCTTGGGGACCAGGGAATAGTATGTGCATATATTTTGGACCGAATGTACAATAACTAATCACTCTAGTAAAAAGTCAATCTAAATTAAAATTATAATGCTAAACTATTAATAACATACCATTTGAAAACCACGGAATGTCAGATAACTTGTGAATATGCACTATAATTACTTAATAAATTTTTCTATCGATATTTCCAGTTTGTAAACCAGAATTAAATTCTTCTTTAACGTTAATATATAACTGTAATTGAAAATCATATCTTTAAAAAAAATATCTCTTATACTCAAGTGACCATTTGTATTCACTCAAAGCTACTACTAGTAAAAAAACTATCTTCAGAACAAAATCAGCAAACAAAAAAAAAAAAAAAAATACCGAAAAGCTATGTTCTCGTGGTAGAAAATTTAAAGGTGCGAGGATGATGACCAACTACGAAATTTTTTTGAAAAAAGTAGCATAAGTAAATAGAAGGATTATAATCATGATTTGTAACAAAGAAATCGCCATTAAATTATCGAGAAGTTCAAAGAGTAAAAGTAAAAAGAAATAAGTGAAGAAAAATAATTAGAAAAAAAAAAAAAAGTATCTTTTATTTATTCCCCGATTATTATTATTTATGCTATTTTTCGCGCTTATGCCCGGATTTCAGATTCGGGCTGATCCGGAATAACGAAGAGTAAAAATTGCTAGTTAGAAAAGTAAAAAAGAAGCCTTGCGACTGTAGCAAAGCTAAACAACGTAACTTTGGTTTAAAAAATAGTATAAAAGTATGATAAAAACCTGGAATAAATCAGTTGTTATCCACATAAGCAGATAATAACAAAAGTTAAACGCAAACAGATGATCGGATAATGGCACTAGAGGTCTGATCCGGTCGAAAAATAAGGATTCAAAAATTCATTCGTTCAATCTTTTAATATCCGAATATTTATCAGCAAATTTCAAATGAATATTCGAATATTTACCGAATATTCATTGAATATTGATGATCATGAATAGAGTTGGAACATATGAAGTTGAATAGTTGAGAGTTTAAATACACAAGCTAACAAATGAATTTATACTTAAAAGCTACATTAAAATAAATAAATCGATAAGAGAAAACTTATAGCTGAGCTCATGATTATTAGCATTACTAATCAATCAGTATATAAGCTTGAACATGACATATGACACCCAATCTTACATTTAATTGGTCGAATATTCAATGAATTATTTGGAGAAAAATTTTTATATTCGAACATTCAATTCGGATATTCAGCCAGTGGCCACTCCGTCATTATCCGATCATCTGATCCGCGTGGTTATTGCCGAACAATTGACACGTCAATTTAGGAATTTCTAATTAATCTTGACAAATTTCCATTCACTGCTTAGAAAAGATGAATCCACTACCGATAATAAAGAATAATTAAATAAATAAATGCTATGATATACTACAAGATATATTCAATCAATCTTTTTACAAAGGGCATGAGTATTTTGGTTATATTTTTGTTTGGTGATAAACAGAATAGTTCAGTGATTCAAGTAGTGTTTGTAGTCAATTTTGTGTTAGTTGATTTTATCGACTTAGGGTGCTCTCAAGCACCTAAATTAATAGGTTGGATCTCGATTTTTGATTAGTGGAAAATAGTTTAAGCGGTCAAGTGAGTTCGTTATCGCAATGAAAAAAAAAGGTCGTTTTTTTTATCGTAGAGTTGTGCTGATTGGCTAAAATTTAATATCTACATTTCGCAATATGAATCTTCAGCAAAAATTATCATAAAGATTACTTCAATTAATCGTAGTACTTGTGTACGAACTCGATAAGTAGCCAGTCACATTGAGAGATGTTTTAGAGCACTCTTAGTCGGCTAAGAGTGTTCTCAAACATCTCAATCAATTAATTAAATAATGATCATGATAACGCTCAAGCATCACAATCAATGATGATATTTATAGAATTAAACGCTTGAGCGTACTTTTCTATTTTTCAAAATCTTTGCTATGCCTCCTAAAAAACCTAATAAAAATTTTTTATTCAACCAGTTGTCGAAACTTCAACTTCAGTTTCACTGGCTTCACCTATTAACAATTTTACCAATTAAATTTTTGTTGCAACAGTAACAGAACCAACTTATGGAGTCGTTAGCGAAAATTGCTTTGCGGAAACAAGTAATTTTTTTAAAAAAAATTTTTTTTTTTATGGCGATTATGATAATTCTGTAGTTGCTATTTCGTATTGAAAGTAGCATAAGCAAACCGAAAATATTTCGAAAAAAGTTATAACCTTCATTATTTATCCGTTGAATATAGAAAAACATCTACCCAAAATCTTTTAGTTTTGGGTTGTCTTTGCTGAAAAATTTTTAAATTTAGGTGAACGAAAAACGGAAGTAGTATTTAATATAGTTTGATTAAAGGTTAAAAGATGGGTTGCATTTATTATGTTCATATTAAGGTATCGATTATTTGCTTTAAAGCTTCGAGAATTAAAAATAAAGTAGCTATTTTTTTAGATCGGTTGAGATCATCGTTTATTATGTAAATAATGTAAAAGCAATGCTTGAGCGGCCTTTATCAATGGTAAATTTTTGAAGAAAAAAGATGGGTTGTAGCTCGCTGATCTATTCATCGAAACGGAGTTCGCTTGGTTAATTTATTAAATTTCCGACTAATTAAAAATTTACCTCCGACCTATTGAGTGAGGTGCTTGAGAACACCCTTAGTCAGCTACTTAAATTTGTTGTTTAATATTTTTATTTATATCGTATCGAAATCTATCATTGTGCAATATCTCTAATTTCATTTCATACGTGTTGATTTTGTTTATGAATATAATATAAATAAATGAAAAGCATTATAGTAGTTCTAATCATATTCATTTATGCTCATGTACAGTGGAAAGATCCGAAAATATTTATACAAGTTTTATCTATTACAACCTGGGAATTGCTGTTCCAATTTTAATGATTCGTGCTTAAACGAATGCTATAAACTATAGGGTTTGTCTAAATCTAAGATGTTCAAAAGGTATATCAGCAATTCTCGCAATATGACCATGAAACAGTGGCAAATGTCAGAATAGAGTCGATATTTTATGAACAGCCAATCTGTTTAATAATTTTCGAGTGCTATTAACGTCAGCATTCGTCTAAGTACGTACGTACAAGATCATTGGAAACGAATCAACAATTCTTGGCATCACTGTAATAATGATATTTCGTGAACAGTAAATCCGTTTTCGATGATCTGCTATTTACAGTATTCGTTAAACAATTTGAAAAATGGTTTAACCATACTTGAAATATGGAAAAATTTTTGTTGTACGTACGTACATTATTTTTCCGGATCTTTTCCACAATTATTAGTTTTAATTAACAATTAGGATAATAAATATACTGTAGCATAAAATTCTGAAATAAATATATACCTTTAATTACATTCGATATTCTTTGAGTATTTATTAGTTTGCTAGTGTACATAAAATCTGGATGTTTTGATCAAATAATTGTCAATGCTTTTACAGTATTATTTTATCTGCATCTAGGAATTGCTTTTTGATTTCATTTGTATTATCTGAATCATCCGTTATTATTCCATTTTCAAGCTTATTCCAAACTTGAGAAGCAGTAGGTCGTTTTTTTTTGGATCTGAATTCATGTATTGCAATCTGGAGTCCCAGGTGCAAATTCAGTCGCATTCCTTTTCATATATTTAATGAAAGACTAAGATCAAATGGACACTTTCAAAAGGTCTTTGTCCAGATGACATTTCTGACATAATGACTCCAAAGACATAAATATCGGCAATCTTCTGTCTCAATAGAATCTCTGGTGCGACATAAGGCAAGACTCCATAAGTACTACCTTCTGGATCATTTTTCATCTGTCTTTTTAAGCAATCCTAGATCTGTGATATAATATTACAGACTTTTAGTAATGCCTTCATTTGTGAAATATTACCCTATGAAAGTCTGCATGAATACTGTATATCCTTATGAATGTCACGTAAATCATCCGAAATACCTTTAATTTAATTTGTCAGGTAAGTTATCAAAATTTCATTCCTAAAAATTTATGAAGACTTCTGTGTTCCATATACTGTATATTAAGCTTACGTACTATATACCATATAATCTACATTTCACATGATTGTCAAACTTTGTAAATTTATCGCATAGAAAATGAATTAGGTAGTTCAATATATGTTTAATAAATTGTACTAGAGTTTGGAACCGGGTTTATTTTTCATATATTAAACCCGGTTTTAATCAGGTTTAGTATACAAAAATAAACCGGTTCCAAACTCTAAATTGTACAATGATTTAACTTAACTCTTTCAAAATCATGAGGATTCTCCTTGGAACAAGATAAGGTCTTGAGTGTAGTAGTGCTAGATGGTTCACACGAACTTACATATCTATCGCTATCAGCAACGTCTTTAATCTTTTGTATGTTAATTTTTCGTACACAATTTTACCAGGTCGCCGAAAATACTGAGTCAAATCTTCCTTTACTCAATTTTCTTAATATTATTTAGTCAATCAAATGGAATCTATTCAGTTATATATTCATAATTATTGGTTCTTTTTGATGTAATTATCGATATTCTTATTTCCACTTGTCTATTCTCGAATTGTTGTCAGGATCACATGTCTGACACCATGCTTGATACGCGTTATACTCATTACAATGTGTACATTCTCCGTATTTAAAATTTCTTTTATAATCTTTTTTATATTAGTTATTTTACATCGTTTATGTGACCTTAAATCAAACACAAATCATTTTATGCTCACCGACTAATTAAGGCGAATATAATGAAATTAAATAGCAAGGGAGCTGACAGATAAGAGTTCATATAAATCCACTTCCCCCCTTTACCCCCATGCTCCCTTTATCCCTCTTTACCTCCTTTACCTCCCTTTTAGGGGTAAAAGAGGTAAAGGGGGTATAGGGTATAGGGGTAAAAAAAGGGGGTAGAGGGAGTGGGGTTTATATGGGCTCTTACTGTATTTGTCAGCTCCCTAAATATTTATGAGCTTGAATAGCTTATTTTAAATGCTTAAATTAATAAATGGGTTTTTTATACTCAAATTAAATTGACGCAATTTAAATTGCCAATGTTCATGAATTTGAATAGCTTATTTTAAATACTTAGGTCAATAAATGTTCTTTATACTTACGGACGTGAATAAACCGAATTGAGCATATTATTTAAATAGAAATTACCACCATGAACTATGCAAACAAAAGCATTGGTGATTTTAATAATTTCACCTGATTTTACTACAGATATCCAACACAAAATCCCGACGCACTAAACTCTCGACACTCGAAAATCCCGATACAAAATCCTGACACCTAACTTTAGTGCTGTTAAGATTTTGGTAGTGTCGGGATATTGATGTCGGGGTTCTGTGCGTCGGGATTTTACGTGTATGTGTCGGGATTTTGTAATCAGTCGTGGTTTTTATTTATCGTTATAAATTTTTTTGCATAGAAATAGCCGTTGGGTGAGTAATTAGTTTATATGTATGAATATACAGTACGTGGAAGTAGATGACTTTTACAAGAAATAATTAAAATTCATAATCTTTTCTTTGAAATCAATAAGTAGATGGTCTATTCTCAATAGATTATGGCTTAGCTGAATCTTATACTTTATAGAGAACAAATAATTTTTTTCAATTTATTGACTGACTCTAAATTGAATCCTTTAAATTTTTGAATCCAAGGCCCTTACAATTATCTAGTGCTCGGCACAATCAAACAAAATTTGACAGTCAAATACTTGTGATTAAGTCGGACATCAAACAATGATTAATCTGCGATTGTTTGATATCCGACTTAATCACAAGTATTTGACTGTCAAAATTTTTGTTTGATTGTGCCGAGTACTACAATTATCCCAATGATTAAAAATTCAAACATTGTAAACGCTCACCATAATATGTTAATATGTTTGCGCTGTATAAAAAAGATTTAAAATTAATTTTATATGTAAAATTTAATGTGTTATATTTCATTTACTAAAAATCTAAAATGAATTTTAATAATTGATGTTTCAAAGACGCACTTGATTAGTGTTTGTAAGTTTTTTTTTGCATCATAAGCGTCTTTATCAATAAAATGGTCCTTACGCTTTTTGTATGTTTACGCAATATACTTTTTATATTCGTGTATGCCTCTCATCCTATATTCGTTAAAGATCTAAAGATTAATTCGAATCAATTTATTATTTGATAAATAAATTTAATTTATATCGTCGAAAATTGAAATAAATTAAGATTTCTAAATGCTAATTAATTTATCTTTCATTTTGAAAAATTTTTCTTAATGAAGAAATTAATAACGGCAATGATAAATAATCACATCATTTTGATATTTTGAGCATATATATTATCGTTATTGAATTGATTGATCTAATCAATATTCTGATTTAATGATCATGTAAGAGTAATCAATTATTTTTTTTTAAAAAAAAATAAAAAACCCATTCCACGCCAAAGATTTTCGATTTGTTCAAAAATACATCTAAAATAATCACAATATAATTAAAGTCAATAAAATAAAATTTGACATTAATTTGATAAAAGCAAATTTTAAAAAGAAATGTCTATCCGTTCTAAATCTACCTTCATCTTCATAACACTTTTCGTTATTATCAGCATCACTCTTCTTCAAATTACAACCGCTGAACTTCCAAAAGATTTTGGAAAATCTCATAACAGCAATAAACCAAGTATTCCGTTTGGTACCATGTTAAAGGACAAAGATTCGTCCGCTACTCCAACTCCAATTTCAACTTCAACTTTAACGTCATTATCATTGCAACCTTCAACCATCGAACACTCAGGAACCATTATATCTACAATGACCATGCGTGTTACGACTGTTCATCATTCTACGACACCTAATTCCACCTCTAAACCTTCTTCGATTAGTGATAGTGGTGTGACGATGATTGGCGAAACATTAAATCGTGAATTTTGGGGAATCATGATTGGCGCTTTGTTGTGTGTTTGTTTTGGAATTACGAATATTTTTTTTGAATAATTATGGTTTCAAATGTGTATATAGTGTTAGAATGAAAAGTTTACGTTTGATTGTAAACGGTTTTTATGCAAGTCAAAAAATAGAATAGAAAGAAATTGCATCCCCGATTATACTGTATTAAAGAGATGAATTTTTATTCATTTTTTTCAATAAAGTTTTTCTCAATGAAATTTGTACAAACTAGAAACACAAACATCGGAACTACCTATTATTGCAACATGTCGATAATATAGTTAAACGTATCGCAGCTTTTCTATATGCTGTAACTCAGCTTTTCTTTAATGTGAACACGAAAAAAAATGTATGTTCACAAAAATTGCCATATTATCTTTTGCATTTCCAACACTGATATGACTATATGTAAACTACACATATCGGTATGCACATATATTAATATATTAATTGTCGCGGATCATAATGAAATCGGATTAAAATGAAATGTTGATCCTCTAAACCCACTTATATTTGTTTATTATAAACTCTACCTAAAACTAACCTCTAACCTATTGTTTACATTGTGCAATATTTCATTTTAATCCGATTCATTTTAATCACATTTTTATTATTAACGTGAACGCGTTTTTCTTTTTGGGAGTGATCTACATCTGCATTATCAACCAATAAGATCTGAGTCCTATGATAGATATAAAACTATATATATACCTCAAAATTTTCACATCAACAATACTTTCCCACTTCTATATAGGTTTAGAGAAGTTAGATCATTTCGATAATTCCAGCCTAACTGAGTGAATTATTGATTGGTCGTCCTATGTGGCTGCACTTTCAACTTCTCGTTTGTTAGTGTCCTCTTTCACTTACAAACTATTCTTAAAGATCATTTTCTTTATACTCGTTTTGAAGTTTTTTAAGCTTTGCGCTTGAATAAGGTTTGTTAAATGAGCGATATACACCTTATAACACGCCAAACTTAGTAGTTTAAACTAAGCTTAAAACTCCCCTACTATGTTTATACACAAATTTTCCTAAAGAAGTTTTGTGAAGCCGACGAATCTCGCAAAATTTTTCTTAATAATTTTTATTTTATCTAATAATTTAGGCAAGTTGTTATATATTTTTTGCGTTCATTTTTTTTTTTTTATCTAATTTTATTTTTATTTGCTTTAAAGAGTTCGTCGCAGTCGTCACCGTTGGAGTATTTTCATTCGTCGTTGCTGCTGTTCGTTGTTGTCGTCGTCGCTGTCGGAGTATTTTCATTCGTCGTTGCTGTTGTTCGTTGTTGTCGTCGTCGCTGTCGGAGTATTTTCATTCGTCGTTTCTCCTGATAGAAAAACAACGTGAAAAGTTCGTGATATTGGGTGCTCTCAAGCACCAGGTCGGAGTTCGATTTTTAATTAGTGGAAAATAGTTTAGCCGATCAAGTGAGTGATGAAAAAAAAGATGGTCCCTGACTATATTTTTTTATCATAAAGTTGTGTTGATTGGACAAAATTCGATATCCGCATTTCGCAAAATGAATCTTTGGCAAAATTATCGTAAGGATTACTTAAATTAATCGTAGTACTTGTGCACGATCTCGATCATTGGTCAATCACATAGAGAGATGCTTGAGAGCAATAGTTTAAGAGATAATTATGGCACATTTCATGCTTAGTAGCATATTAAAGAAGTGAAAAGTTTGTAATATAATCTAGTCTCATAGATCATTTCTGCACCAGGCCCTATTATCTATGAGAAGACGACACTTTAGTGGAATAAATTTTCTTTTCATGAGACGTACATACCTTGATTCGCTATCAATTGACTTAGTATACGTATTTTATTATTTTGTGATTTTTTTTTTTTTAAAAAAAAAAGTCAGAAAATAAATGAATTGAAAACTAACCGAATATACATTTTTTAAGATCGTTTGTTTATTTTAACCCTTTTCTCTGTAGATTTAGGCGGTTTTTTTTTAAAATCTCCAGTTTAAACTCCTTTGAATCTAGTACAACGAAGTGCCCAATTAGAAATTTTTTCGTATAATCTTATTTTGAGATTACAGGCATGTTAATGAATGAAGTTTAGTATGAATAAGTCATAGATTGTTCTCAAGCACCTCCCTCTATGGTTAATAAAATTGTCTGATTGGTTTAAAAAAATGGATCGTGTTTAATCATTTCGATCAAAAACTTGACCTAACAACCATCTTTTTTTTTTATAGAGTTACTCTGATTGGCTAAAATTTAAAATCCCGAATTTTGCGCAATAAATTTCCGGCAAAATCGTTATATAAAGATGATTTCAATTAATTTAAATGATTGAGCAGCACCCCGATCACTAGCAAATCTCATTTGCCTGAGAACAACCATAGTAATCGATTATTTAGAATTTTAATGATTATTTAGGTAAACAATTAGAATAAGATAATGGCAATAAAAACGTAATGGCAGTTTTATTATTTTTTTTTTGTCACTTTATTTCTTGATTTGCTTATTTGTATGTTTGAAATTGATTTTATTATAAAAAAAATAAATAAATATTACGATAAAAAAAGCTGTACTTCTCAATAAATTTTTTTTCTTTTTTTATAAAAAAAGGCCCTTCGATGGAACTCTAGAAATTCATAGCCCTAGTCGTTTACACAAAATTATTTTATTATAGAAAATTATCTTGAAGAAAAGCATTCCTAAGTGAGCACACGCACTTTAACTTTAATCTTGGTTATGCTGTTATTCGTTCAGAAAATTCGCTTTTATCTGAGGTCAGGGACATTCGTTATGATTGGATGCCCGGATCTCATTTTTTACAAATAATTGAAAGGTAAAAAATTTATTTTTTTATTTTATCATGTAATTTTGCAATAATGTAATGGGTTATTTTATTCTATCATCAAAAGTCAACAAACACAACCGTAGAGTTACTGTGTTCAATGTTTTGTCTTGATCTTCAATAAACGTTTCATTTTGCGTTTTCTCTCATAGAATTTTCCTCCGTTGCTAAATTATTTTGCTAATTTCTGTGGAACATTCGGCCAAATGACGCTTAAGACGCGTCCAATTATGAGAGCATTGCCTACAATTAGCACCATCATCTGAAAAATTTTTTTAGTGCAGTTCTGCGCAGATTTGCAAAAAATTAAATAATGAATCAAATGAAAATCTGCGCAAAATTTCAAATTTAATACATAAATGCAGAAATTAAACGCAATTCTGTACAAAACTTCAAATTTACACTTACTTAATTTTCCTAATGATAATGTCATTCTCCTAAATATTGACATAATCCCAAATTTTATTTAGTTTAGGTTCACACGTTTTTTTTAGATAAACTCCGCCATTGCTTTGAATCGTATGTATATTCGCAATGTCGAGAAATAGAATACATGTTATTAGTGGGTTCAGATAATAAAGATTATTATTCTCAATATATTAATGTTACGAATCAATTTACTTTCATTATAAAAAAAGAAAGTTTAAAAAATAAAAGTTTTATAATATTTATTATTACGTAGCTTTAACAGTTTAAAATCGAGGTTACGCTTTATTAAAATTACAGAGTTACGCAGCTAATTAGAGTCACGATGCAATGGGATCGTACGGCTTTTGCCGTAACCGTAATTGGTCGAATGTCGTTCATTGGGACGATTCTACCGCATCACTATGAAACCATCACAAAGCGAGCATTACACTTTTAATACTATATACTGTATCTATATACAAGTGTGCAAGAGAAATATTGTATCTACTAAATTAATATTAGTATTTAAAATTGTAGACTTTGCATCTATATTTTTAACCTGCAAAAATTATAATCAGGATAGTTGCTTCTACAACTTTAATTCTTAATAATATTCGTCTGTATGTGCTAGAAAAATCTGACAATAAACATATTAATTCATTTGATTGGTCAATAAGCACGTGATAAACAATCGATTTTTAATACGTAACACAAAACTATTTCAGGCGCTTCTTACTTCAACGGCTATGGGGAAAAACAAATTGTTTTTCTCTCAAAACGTTAGTATTTATTTTTCTATTCCATACTTGTAAATTATGGAAAATAGAATGGAAACTACAGAAACTTCTTCAGAAGAATTCTTGACAACGCTTTCGAACGATCTATCCTGGCTACTTGAAAATGCTGAAAACTGCGATGTCGTATTACACGTTGGTCAAGAGCCCAATGTTCGAAAATTTCATGCTCATATTGCTATTTTAAGGGCAAGATCAAATTATTTTAAAAGAGCTTTAGCCAAACAATGGGCAAAAGAAGAAGAAGGCTTAACTATATTCCAAAAACCAAATATTTACCCTGAAGTATTTGAAGAGATATTAAGGTAAGCTCGTATTTCACACAGAAAATATTGTAATGGAGTATAATTATATAAAAAAAAATTTTTGATAATCTTATTTTTTTTATTTTTATTTTTATTTTTTTTCATCATAATTTTTAAAGATACATGTATAGAGGTAAAATTGAACTTGGAGGACAAGACGGGCAAAATCTTCTCAATCTTTTAACAGCTGGTGATGAGCTAATGTTGGATGAATTTTGCAATTACATTCAGAATTTTTTAATTCATCAAAAATTTGAATGGCTTGAAGATAATCTTGTCGAAGTGTTACGTATTACAGGAAGTTGTAGTTGTTGTACGGCTCTCAGAGAATATTGTTTAGAATTAATTGCTGAAAAACCTGCATCAATCTTTAGATCAGAAGGTTTTCCATCTTCTGATAAAGATTTATTACTTTCACTTTTGAAACGTGATGATTTAGAGATGAATGAAGTAGAGATTTGGAATTATGTGGTTAAATGGGGAATTGCTAATACTCCTAACCTTTCTGAAACGGACATTACTCGTTGGACAAATGAAGACTTCGAAGCTTTAAGTGATACATTACAACAATGTATTCCTTTAATTAGATTTTTTGATATTTCATCAGCTGATTATTATGATTATGTTAGACGATATGACAAAATTCTTCCTGTAGATTTAAACGAAGATATTTTAAAATATCATTTAAAACCTGGTAGTATTCCTCGATCTATAGTGCTTCCACCAAGAGATCAAGGAATGAATTTAGATTCATTAATTATCAAACCTATTCATGCAAGACTTATCTGTGGATGGATAGATGGAAAAAATATACTTGGACCTACATATGTGAAAGCTGCATATGATTTCAAATTACTCGTTCGTGGGACAATTGACGGATTTGATGCAACAACATTTCATTCGAGATGCGATCGTAAAGGGCCAACAGTAGTTGTGTTGAAATTGGAAGGTGCAGATGAGATACTTGGGGGATACAATGCTGCTTATTGGAGAACTGGTGCTGTTTACATTCAATCAGATAAGAGTTTTATATTTTCACTTGGAGATGGAAAGAATTTACAGGAAGTTAAATTGAGTAGAGTTCGTGATTCGGCAACTTCGATGTATGGGCATACTTCCTATGGTCCACATTTCGGAACTGCTGATTTGAGGATGTATTCTCCTTTTAACAATAAGGAAAATTGTAGTTGTCAACAGGCGAGTTATTTTAGAACTGTTACTGAACATGTTAGGTTTGCAGCTGAGGAATATGAGGTTTTTCAGGTTGTTCCGAAACAATAGCTACCGTTATTAATCATAGTAGATAGATGTTATGATGCTTAGGCATTTTTGGTATTATGTACGCTTCTAGCACGCGTGACTATTGATATTTATATAGTTTTTTGCCTTTACAATTTAATTTAAAATGAACAATCTAAAACCTACGAAAAAAGCGATGGCAAAAATTTTTGTTACTTCCATATGTAAGCTCAAACGAATTCCGGATAAATATACATCATCTTGTATTTACAATACTCGTTATAAATCTCACGCAATTCCAGACGTTATATGTTTATCCGGATTCAATTCCAGTTTAGCTTTTATAAAAATTATGATAGTTTCTGAAATATGTAAAAAAAATTTTCTTCCCGCGAAAACATAAAACAAATGTTAGGGTCAACTTTCAATGCTAACAGTTACTCCAGTAGGTAACGTAAACTGATCGACTTGGTTACGATTAATGTTAGCTGAGCCAAGCCGTTCTTTTGCCCTACAAATAAGTTGCATTTATATGACAACCTCGAGTGTACCAGGCCACTAGGGATGGTTTAGCCAGTTTTTTTAAACGTTTTTTTATTTTTTAACCCTTTTTTAAAAACATTTAAGTCTGAGATATAATTTTGCAGATACTGAAAATATTGCTTTTGATTAATTAATTTTAAAAAAGACGTTGCTATAATTTCGAATTTATAAAGTATTAGGTAAAAAAAATAAAAAAAAATAATATATTGTTCGCTTTAATTTTTATCAAAGCTATCGATCGCTATTACCGTAAATTCTCGAAATAGCGTTATTTCGAAAATCGCGCCTCCTAAAAATAGCATAGGTGGTTTCGAAATAACGCCCATGCGCGTCCCGGAATAGCGCGCACCTCGAAAAGCAAGTATCAGGTAAATATCGGGCCCGACATGCACCTGATACTTATTCATTTTAACAATCGGATTACAGAATTAATACTTTATCTCGAAATAACGCGCACGTAGTCAAAATAGCACGCAGATGCCCGCTATTTCGAGAATTTACGGTATTCTTTAAATGCGAAATCGGCCAATACACCTTTCATTCCATATTAGTTTTACATTTGTTAGTATTGAAAATCCAAGGTTTACAATATTGCCACTATGTACGTGTAATAAGTTTTCTCGAATGAATTATTTGAAGAATCAGAATCCTGTTTTTTGAGTTTTTTTTTCTAATAAATCTTATATATTTCTTGAAAGTTTATTTAACATTTTAATGAATGACCTTTTACTGTAATTGGTCAACTAAATCAACAGTCTTCTTCACAATAATTACATTTTTGGCGAGGTGTTGTTCGATTATGTTTATCAAGTTCAGTAACTTTTGTAAGATCAAACAAACAAGATTTTTAAGATCGTGCTTTAAAACATTTGCCATCCCTACAGGCCACTACAGTACTATAATTGAACTGAACTCAAAAATTTTACTATTGAAGTTATACAGTGGCTTATTTATTATCACGTTTTCAAATTATTGTGATTTTATCTATTGTTAAAAAAGTAAGAGTAACGATTTATGTCACCTTGTACAGTATTGCATTAAAATTTAAAAATACAACCTTTTGTTTTTGGAAAATTTTTTTTCCAATATTTTTTTTAAAAAAATTTATAAAATCTATTGAAACAATAAACCTATGGGGATGGTTAGTAGAAACACACCTTTAAATAAAAATAACTTAACAAAAGCTTAATCAAAATTAATATGTAAATTCTGTAAATTTATAGAATTTAATTAAAAATTTTTATTAAATTGAACTAAATTATTTTTGAGTTATTTTGTTTAAAAATTTATTTAAAAAAATTTTGGTGCATAATTACTAACTCTTATATTTCTATTTAAAGTTTTTATATATTTGAAAAAATCTAATTGTTAGATTAGTAAATTTTTTTTTACTTGAATAGTACTTAATAAAAAAAACAAACAAATATTATAGTTAATAATGAAGGTTTAGGTTAAGTTTAAAACTTTTAACTTATTAAAAATTTTCAATAAAAATATAAATACTGTAAACTGGGTTTATTTTATTTTATTAGTTTTTTTCTATTTGTATACCTGGGTCTCTTACATTTTACCAAAACTTTATCCCATGTTGTATACCCGGGTATAGCACATAGCGCATAGGGTCTGATATCTGGGGAGTCTTGTATACAGCAGTTTACGGTAATACTGTAGTTGTTATTTTCAAAGTTTAAAAATAAAAAATTTAAATTATTTTTATAGACAATATTTATTCTTTTTTTTTTTTTAATATTATAAAAAATTTTATAGTTTTATTAATTGTATATATGTATATTATATAGTATTATAAAAGGGGAATCTACATATAAGCCATTAGACACTATTAGACATATAAAAAACTATCAATAGACATATATTTGTCTAATGACTTTTTCCCATTAGACTATGTAAGCTCACAA